GAACCGCAGACGTTTCATTCATTTCGTCCGTTCGAGTAATATTATGTCCTCCCACCGTCTGGCTGCTGGCTCCATCTAATTCCGCGTCTACTTAAAATTCCAGTAAAACTCGAATCCTCCTCTTCCTCGAACCATCTACCCCGGGACCGGGCGCTTAGATCGGAGCGAGGCCTGGGAAGGTTTGGCAAGAATCCTCGTCGAGCGATCCTACAATTTCACGAGGAGAACCGGAGAATAAGGAATCACACGTCACACACACACACACACACACACAGAGTTTCGCAACGAGCGATTATATAGCAATTATACAAAGGCAAAAACGCTCCTCCAAGACACTTGTTCCCTTTTTTGAAACTCAACCTCGATCGTTGCACAATGTGCCGGCGTTTATTCGAAGGCCAGCGATCAGCACCAGTCATCGCGAGTAACGAGTATCACCTGCCGTATCCGTATTAACAGGTACTCTTACGTAAACCGTGGGCGTGCAAGGATCGGCCGAGCAACCCAATCCGGTAACACAAGCACGCAATACGCGCACTATATCGAAATCGTTCGATTTCGACGATCGCGTGGATCGGCGAACGCGAGCAACGCGCCAAGCCCTGGGCGAAAGGGTACAAGGGAATGTGGATCGTGTGCCTCTGCCAGACGATCCATAATCAAGGCCACGTGATATTTCACGGACGGAATTCAGCAGATCCGACGTTCAGATTGTCGGCGAATAGATAACCGCGAAGAAAAGTCACGCGAAGCCGTAAGGAGATCCCGGCAGAAGTGATATCGAGGGGGCCCGCGAATTTTTCAACCCCTCTGCTAATCCATACCGCGCCAACGTTAGAGAACCATCGCGCGGACGATGTGCGATTTAGAAACGTTCGTGCTGTGATATCGGTAGCCAACGAGAAATGATTTGAGAACGCGCGAATAAATTGGAACGGGGAAGATCGTACGTGAGATATAAGGTGCGCGAAGACATGACAGAAACGGAAGATCTTTACGAGAATTTTTTGAGAGTTCGGAGAAAGAAAATTTGAGAATCTTCGCTCGATCGAATTATTGTTACATCAGTCTCGTCTTGGAACCACCGAAAAATTAAAAAAAAACATTCGAGAACGAGTAAAATCGTTATTGCAGGCTAGTTTTATTATTAAGTGTATCCTTTATCGTATTCTGCCTGTGCCCCAAGTTTCTTAAAATATTGAGTGTCTGCCTTCGAGCGTAAATCGAGTCGCGGACGGTTATAATAGCGCTCAACATCGCGAAACAGACTGGAACGATCCAGCGGGTCGGAAGAAACTTTCCTCTGTTTCCTGCGTACGATAAAAAACACGAGGAAATCAGTACGAAAATCAGGATCGAATCAATCTTGTCCGAGACAATCGTGCCCGTCGAAGACCGTTTATATACGCCGAAGAGGAAGTCGCGTCGAGGGGCGAAGTCGAAGAAAAAAGAACGAGCCGAAGGGTGAGGCTCGGAAGAAAGGGGGGTCGATACAATAAATCAGGATAAATCTGGAAAGCAGCGGGGCAATAAATTCGACTTCGTTTATCAGGCAGGGTAACTTCTATTCGATTCGACTCGGCCGAGGCCGAGCCCTTTTCCGAAACTTTGTCAGCCTGATGGGGCCGACTTGACTGCAATTTTATCCCGCACAGCCGGAAGTTTTCGGCGGAATCTCGCTTTAAACGGGACACACAGCCGAGTCCACGCGCGACTCGATGAAAATCCTCCTCGGCTAACGTATTCCAAATCTCTGCCACCATCCTCTCCCTATCCTCTCTATCGTCTTCCTCGTAACTCCTCCTCTCCTCCTGTGTCCTCCACCACCTCCAGTCGATCCCGACGCTGGGTCAACCAGTAATCCACTCTTTCTTTTCTATATCCCTTCCCCGTCCTTCTTCTATCTCCGTCCCACAGTTTCAATCGCGTTCTCTCCTCCAGACTCAGCGCTGCTCCACTCGTTTCTGTCTCTCCTTCCTTCGATTCTCGGGCTTGGCCGCCCACGCGACTCTTTTGCATCTCACGTCCGCGCGGACGTACGGGCTAGCTCCGAGTATCGCATTCCTCGCATCACCCACGTGAAAACTGGCGACTGGCCGACCGGTCGTGATGGAAAAAGGGCGAGGAGATCGAGAACGGGACGAAGAAACGTTGGGGGAAAAGGGAGAGAAAAGGAAGAACGTTGCACATGCGACGCAAGGCGTGCGCTACGTGCCACGAGAAATCGTACCGAAAGCGTCTGAATAAAAGAAAAGCTGTCAGGCAGCGAGATGTCGCCGGTCGGAGGGTAACATCCAGCGAGTGGAGCGCGCTGTCTCTCTCTCTCTCTCTCTCTCTCTGTACTTCGGAAACTGTGCCTTTCGGAGGTTTCGTTCGACGCGACCTTTTCGACGTGAAACACGGGGCAAAATTGGATATCGCTCGTGACTCGAAAGAAACGCAAAGCATTCGTTAAGAGATCGGTTCTTCCGAGGGATTTTAATAGTTGAGTGTTTAAAAAACCGTGTTGGACAGTGTCATACGGCGCGATAGCGCTTCTTTAATGTGCGGAGAATGCCAAGCAACGAGATAAAAATAGCTAAAATAAAAATTGCCTTCAGGCACGTGATTTAGGTTTAATCGAAAAGAAAGTAATTAGGAAAGATAGAACATAAACTGAACTGTGACGCTATTCGATATGAAATCTGAACAACGCGATCGGATTAATGGTGCTGAAACGGTTTAAAATGCCAAAGAAACACTGATAACGAGCAAACTGATCCATTTCGCAAATTTCCCAAATATCCACAAACCGTGCCTACAATTGTTCGATTTGTCAAATTTTCAAAAAGGGAAAGGGGAACCGCAGCCGGTGGAAGAGCGTGGAAAGGAACGAACACGCGGGAACATGTAGCATCCTTGCCTGGAATTGCACGCGCGAGCGAAACGAGAATTTTCCGTGAAAGCCGCGCGCGCGATTATGCGAAACGCAACGAGCTGTCGAAGCCGGTCATTCACAGCGGGCGAGTTTCATCGGTTCGGGAACGGATTTCGGTAAACGGACGGGACCGAAAATAGCTCAATAACGAGCCCGTTCTCGCGCCGAATTTTTGGTTGCGCGAGCTTTTCAGACACGGGGAGGAAAATAACGGTGCAGGTGCGTTCGCATGCATACAATCGCGCGCCAGAGCTGCCAGGCCAGCCAGCTCTGAAAGCCCCGAAGCGGTGCAACGTTGCTGCACACGGACGTGGCCACCTTGGTATTGGTACGTGGTATGTATGTATGTACGTACGCGTAGTCATGCACAGAGAGATGTGTACACATACATGTACACGTGTCGCGCATCGGCCGGAGAACGTTAAATGCAAAGTGCAGGCGGACACGAGCATGTGCAACGAGAGAGCGCACGTCGCGCTTCACTGGGCAGGCTTGTGTCGCTCGTAGCAGATTCGTACGAGAAACAAACGATAGCCAGTCACAAAGGAAGTAAAATAAAAGCGTGGAAAGAAAAGGCGGTAGAGAAAAAAAAAAAAGAAAGAGGAGGAGCAGAGGGAAAGAACCTGCGAGTACGAGGTGGGAAACTAGGAGAGAAAGACGAATGGACAGATAGAGAGAGAGAGAGAAAGCCGGAGAAGAGAAGTGAGGCGCCATTTAACGCTCCAGGCAGCACCGTACACATTTTCTCGCCGACCTTTCACCCCGCGTTGCTTCTTTCAGTCTCACATTTTTTGATAATAGTACATCTGGAGGCGGTGTACGATGCCGCGAGAACTCGCGCGGAAACTGCAAAATCAGACTGATTTCCGTCCTCAGCTCTGGCTCGAAACCGAAAACGGTGAAAGAGCAACGTCACGTTTTTCCTTCCTCCTCTCGACAACGCTTATCATCTCGAAGAACGCTTCCAAAAGAAAAAAAAGTAAAGAAAAGGAACGTTCTCAAACTAGTGCATTAATCAGGCTAAAAGCTCTCTTTCGGACACAATCTCTCTCTCTTTCTCTTTTTCTCTTTTTCTGTCCCTCCCCGTTCGATCTGCCACTTTTGTCATGCCCACTTCCTCCGAGAATCACCATCTCTGCGATACAGTAACTCGAGTTCGAAGTAACGCAAGTGCCGCACAAATGGCACGAGCCCCGGTTCAAAGACGAGGAATTCGATATTAAAACGACCTGCAGAAACTGGCAGGAATCTCTACCTGGAAACTTAATGCGCCGTGTACTCTGGGCTAATTGGAGCGAAAATCTCGTTAATGTCCGCCTAAACTCGTCGCTCCAGCATCGTCGTCGTCGTCGTCGTCGTCGTCGTCGTCATCGTCGTCGTCGACATCCAGCATCGAGCTTGCTAGCCTAGCTACTTCTACTTCCGGTTGAACGTTTCAGCGCTTCAAGCGACGCGCGACTAAACGAATCTGCGTTTGCGTTTACGCTCACGTTTCCACGAATCGAGACTTCCGCCGAGTTCCTGTGCAGGACCCGGGATGCGCCTGAGCATCCTGATTTCGCTAACGCGGCCTGGCTATTAATTATCTGCGAATTACCGCTCAAAGGAAACACGGGAACCGTCGACGTTCCCGGTTTAATTCGTTCATCGAATTCAGTTAAGAAACCAGAGGTCCGTTATTTACGGGGACGTGGATGCGTTAAATACACTTGTCGAGACGACTGCCCAGCGTCAAAAGAAACGGACGGAGAAATACTTCCCGAGAAGAAAATCCGTTACACGTAACATTTAGAAATTTACCATCTGTACGTAATCGTCGCGTTGCTCAACGCGCCGCGAGACTAGTCGTTCCGATTGCTATTCTCTGTCATCGTCGATTAAATCGTTCATCTTGCTCGTCCATCTTTTCACCTTTAAACGCGCCAACGATCGCCGAATATATACAGAATATTTATACTATATATATAGTATATATATACCACGAAATAAAAGGATATCTCCGAATAAACGCACGTAGATACCGGTCAGACCACTGTCTCAGTCGACGAAGAAACATGCAAATGAAAGAGGATCGTTTGACAATTCACTCACCTTCCAGCTCGACGACCTTGCCAGCCCTCTTGAGCGCCTTCACCGCTTCGTCGTGGGTCGCCTCGCGCAGATCCTCCCCGTTTACAGCCAGGATAGCGTCGCCCACGTACAGCTGCTCCGTCGCGTCAGCGGCCATCCCCTTGAAGATCTTCGAGATGAGGATCGGCATTTTGTTCTCTTTGCCACCCTTGATCGAGATGCCGAGGCCGTTGTTGTCGCTTTTAACCACGCGCACGATACGTTTCTGATTGGCCACCGAGTCCGGCACGTCCGGATCGTTCAGGCTGTCCACGTTGTTGTTGTTTATGTTACCGTTGTTCAGGGCGTTGTTGCTCGTCTCGCAACTCTCGTCCAACGAAATGCTCAGATAATCATCCTCCAACGAGACGAACACGCGATACCACTGGCCACGAACTTGCGTTTCTAAGACGCCGGCACGCCCGGACGCGGACGACGAGGCGGCCGTCGTCGTCGACGAGGACGAGGACGACGTCGCCGCGGACACCACCGAACCGATCCCCATCACTCCCATCGCTGAAGTCGGTTGTCCGCTTCCGCACAGCTCGACCATTTCGATTTCCTCGCAAGCTGCACGCTGCAATTCAAAATCGCAACTTTGTTAGCCGATTTTCGAACAATCTCGCGCGTTTCATCGCGATATACTCGATTGCAATTTTCGAACACGAAAACGTCAGAGCGCGAGAGACTTAAGTTCCTCAAGATCCCACACGACGAGCACACGTTTACGCTGCGGATCTCGAGTTAGAATTATAATACATTAATATTTAGCAGAACGATCGGAACATCGTGGAATAGATTCGATCAATCTGGCAACTTTATCGGCACGAAGCGAGTTTCAGGTTTCTCGTAACCCGCGCCGTGCCTTTCCACGTTATTCCATCACGTAGCGTTGGAATCGAGGTCGAGAGATACTATACCCGTTTGCCTCATTATATTAACATTATGCTCGTTTAAAATATTCCGACTGGCGTATACGTTTATACGTTCATTGACTGCCTCGTAGATCCAATCTCCCTTCGCGCACGAACTTCACCGAATGAAAGCAAGACATTTTCCACGGTATACGAGTGCATACGTCGAGCAGCAAATCGTGTCTCTTATTCTCTCGTATTTTACTGCCCTAGTAGATTCTATCGACTCTTCACGGTGCAAAATCCTGTTATGCACCTCGTGCAAATTTTCGCGATTTCGAGGAAAATTTTCCCAATTCTTCCACTGCGGAAAGACAAAGTGAAAAAGAGTTAGGCAAGTCGGTACCTAAGTACGCAGCGATTATCAAACACCACGTACGCCAACGAAAGCTTTGGAAAAGCTCAAACGCGTTCTAGTACGCTAGGAGAGAGATATCGGGAAGCGAGGGAGGCGAGAGTTAAAAAAAAAAACGAGAAAAAAATGACACGTCTCTCGGCGCGATGCAACGCGATCCATAGAGGGAACGACAGGGATCAATTGCATCGTCTGTACTCGACGACACGGATAAATCAATTGTACTATGCTACGGTGAAATTCGTAATTTGAAAATAATTGATACTGGCCGGTGGTGACATGACCGAGCTCTCTTTACCCCTTTCTCTCTGTCCGGCTAACCCCACTTTTTCCCTGTCCCGCCTATTGTTTCCATCAATCCATTTTCACTGGGCAACAATGGCGTTTACCCGTTAGTCACGGAAAATGTCCTACAAAACTGCGGACAACGGGTATAATTGCGCGAAAATTGGGAGCGGCCCCGCACGCTTACGGCATCTGCTGCTGCTGCTGCTCACTTTTAATTAATTAAAAGTCCCGTCGCCGCTTTGTCATCGACGATACAGAGAAATACCTGTAATATCTCTATTTCATTTCGCAATTTCATTCAACGCGCCGTGTCCCTTTTCTCTGTCCCTTTCTCCGTCCGCTTCACTCTCTTTCTTTCGTCCCCGACTTGCGTAACTTACTACTCGACCGCGCGGCTGATTTTACGTTTTCGAGTGGTCCGCCATTCACGTACAACCCGGCGCTTGAACCTCTGGGTGTCTGGGAGAAGAGAAAGTTCCCAACAGGTTTATGAAGGCAAACACCGTCAACAAGGTGTCTCTTCCCCTCCCTTCCGAAAAAATGAGCAGCGGGAAAAAAAACCGTTCTCCCTCTCGCGCTCGGTATATTTTCGTCTCGGCGTTATCACGCGAACACGGATTCCTAGAGGCTGAAAGGGTGGCCGTATCGCGTCATATTTAACCGGGCGTGTCGGCGGCCCTGCGTACGAAATTTTTCGTCAGCTTCGCGCGTCATAAATAATTTCATCGCGGTACCACGGAGTTGCGCAAATTGGATAATTTATCAGCCGGCGTTAGGTCGAATTCGCGAAATTAGCAAAAGGATCGGGATGGGGAACCACCATCGGGATGCCCGATACACGTACCACACGCGTACACAAAAATACAGTGAACACGATGAAAATCTGGAAAATTGACTAAACGAATCGCGCAGCCAGTCGAATCACGTTCAAACCTGAAACCCGACGAAAATTTGTAGAAAAATACGAGGTGCATTTATCCGAGGTACGCAACGTTAATTAGAACGTTGAGCCATACCGTTGCATAATTAATGTAAAATTATTAATTACCTCTGGCATGCTTTACGCAACGTTACCTGCTACAATTACATCGAGCAAGGGATATCGCGACCGTTGCAACTAAATCTCATTACGACATGTTGACGGGGCTGGGAATCGAATAAACCGCCGGGCAAAGCCACGACGATAACAAGACCATGTGATCCACCGTAATTTTATACATTTTCGAAAAACAACCCGATGATTTTTCCCGACGTGTTACGCCGGCGAAATCAAAAAAATTGCCGCAAGACGAGATGCAAGATCAGAGAAATTGAACGAATCACGAGAGAAGCCGGACACGCCAGCTGCACTTTGTCTCGGGCAATGAGCTTGCATAAATTCTCGATTTAATATGAATGTGTTATGGTCGCCAAGAGAGCCTGTACTCGTAGGCAGAAAAAGAGAATCGAGAAAGAGGAATACAGACTCGAATATAACACGTTGTACATATCGCTGTATATAGCAATATATACATACATAATACACTGCCGGTTATGTATAATTCGTGTACATCGCGCCACGTTTTCACATTGGCAATTTCGCGAATACTTTACCTAAATCTGTCATTCTCAGATTCCCAACACGTATCCCTTAGAATTCTAGAAATCCAACGATCGTTTTCATTCGAACGTATCTTGAAATCTATATCTATGTTTCATTTACGGTTAGTTACTCGCCCCAATTTTTTTCCCCCATATTTTTCCCATCTTCTAACCAACGAAGGTAGATAAGTTTATAATTATTCATGTCCATTGATAGGTAATAGTGATTAGGCAACGACTCAGCAAGAAACAAAGTGTGAAAATGTCTAAGGAATTTGGACAAAAATAACTAGAAACTGATTATGACGTCTAGAGAGCTACTTGCGTGTATATCTACCAATATTACCATAAACACACACCCCCGAATCAGGGCAAAAGGGCAATCGACACTCGTCGCAGAGACGACCACTCGCTACTCGGACTAAGTGTTTGTAATTTATAGTCAATTGTCTAGTTTTGACAAGAAATAAATATATATATTCACTTGAGCAACAACGCATCCGCGCAGAACCACCGCATGACAAACGAAGTGAACGATATTTCGGCGAAACGAATTTACGCAAAGTACATTAAAATGCGGACGCTTGCGTTCGTTTTAACCAACACAAAGAGAACCAATGGATGCGTGCTGAAGCGGAGCCGTGCACGCGGCGAGTAAATTCTATCGGGATCGGGGGACAGGGGATGGGGAACGCGAGGGTAGCAGATCTGGTGGCGCGCAATTGAAAAACGCATTACACGTACACGATGAAGGTGCACCGCAAAAATAAACCACGATGCCAAAAACAGGGTGCGTTCTCACGTGATGAAAATTAAGAGCGAAAACGCTGTTTTCGACGAAGAACCGCCAACCGAGGGTTGGTACGAAAGAAGCAGAGAAACGCGGGAGGAAGAGCGACAGACAGATCACCAGAAATAACCAAAACGAATAAAAAGGAAGAAACAAAAAAAAAAGAACAGATAACAGAGACGATTTCGAAAGAGATTTGGAGGAGAACGCGATGTTGCGGGGGTACGTGCGGAACTAGGAGGGTGGGTCGCGGTGTACCGGTGCGTGAAATTGGGTAAAAATGAATCGACGGCAGGACGCAGTACCGCCATTATTCCCGAAACTCAGTATCAGGATGTGTACGTATACCGTGGCCACCTACGTGACGCGTGCGGATCAACGAGACGACGATGCAGAAAGTGCAGCCAATGTTTTTCCGGCTTTGGTATGAGTGCGTCCCTGTCGTGTACCCCGATAGATATATAGGGGGTAAATGTAATGGCAGCAAAAAAAAAAAATTGACGCGATTGTACACGTAGCAACGCAGAAGGGGCACGAAGGAGAAAAAGAGAGAGATTGATGCTCGTACCGGTCAATGTAATTAAATTAACCCTTCGACGGTCGCGATAAAATCGACAAACATTCCAGGACTTTACGTTTCGTTGTTTACCGTTCTATCCATTCATCTATGAATTTTATTACATTTTTAAAATCGGTTTTGGTCGCTTGGTTCTCGCGCCCGATGTTTAACAGTGGCTGCTGCATGATATTTCATGCTCGCTAGACGGGAAATACTTGCGATTTTCTTAATTCCATTTCATCACCGCGCGTGGAATTTCCTTCAATCGTTCTGACGAACCCACCCACCTTGTCTCTTCATCGTCTCCACCCATCAATGATCCACATTATATATCGACAACACGATATGTACTTGTTGATTCGGCACGGTATCTGGGTTACATTGATCTCAGAAACACAATCTTACATTTGTGAACGTTCACTAGAGAACACTGTAACCAAATACGCCTACGAGCCTCAATAGTCCGTGTACCTACATTCATCCGTGTACGTATATTGGCCTTGGTCAGGGTACTACAAGGATGCACAATACTCTTGGCATAGTATCCCAAAGTTATATGTATACTAACACGCGATAGTACTCTTACGCGGATATAATACTGACGAAATATATGACACCGTGACACGACAAAATACGTTTCCATTAGTCCCGAATATATTGTGAGCATGCTCATAAATATCGTGACTCTTCAATTCGATCCTATATTTCGAATGACTCTACCGTACGTTATCGCAAAATTCTTCGTTAGTATCTCTTTCATGACGAACCTTTCTGTGCCTAATGACGCGACGAAAGAGTTTTTTACACGTGCGTTATTTAACAAGAAAGTATTATATATAAACTGTCCAGCCGAAAAAAAAGAAATAAATTCCCTCGAACATGTTATTTGTAAGTACTTAAATACATACTTGTGTGAAATTCGAACGTACGCGCGACACGCTCCGTCGGTAATCGAATAACAACGTTAGCATCATTGAAGGTAAGGCTCGTATTTAATAAAAGCGTCGATATCGTCCTGATCGTATGTAGATATATATATTTTTTGTGTGAACCTACGAGATTGCCTGCACGTACGACTAGATAGGCGTATAAATCGTGAACTATGGAAAGATACGGAAGGCAAAGAGACGAAGAGAAAAAGAGATAGAAAACACGGAACGTGTCCGCGAGGTTCGGGTCCTCCGGACGCGTGTATACGGCACTGTCGTGCCCCTCGCAAAAACCAATAACCTCGGCAAACGTCGAGCACCGGTTGTTTATGGCCCGAAAGAGAGAACAAGAGGCAGAAAGGAGGGAAAAGGATGTATAGAAGGAGGACGAGAAAGCACGGTGAGAGAGGTGGGAGACTGGAAAAAGAAAACAGCCGCCGCGCACGAGAAACCGAGGGGAGAAAGCACACGTTGCTCCGAGTTCCAGATCATTTCATACCTGCAGCACAATGAGTCGATACACCGGCTCGTACACCCTTTGTCCAATGACTTGTAATCGTGTGTTACGCGACGTAGATCTTTATAACTCGCGCAATCATCGTTAATGAGCACAAATTCCTGCACGAACGTGCAAAATTTCGCGAAAACGACGCGCACGACCGAGGATTTGAAACGACTGCGCAAAAAATGGCGTCAAAATGCCGCGAAAGATAAACGCCATCTAATGGCTTGTTTCCGCGGTCACGTGACTGCTTAATACATCGCCAACCAATTAAAAAGAGCTGTCCTTGCTGCGTATAGCATACTTTGTTAACGATAAAAATAGATACATATTTGCCAATTTCATTGCATCGAATCGTCGAATTTATCGCTCGACCGCGGATATTTATTCAAATTCAGAATTTTTATGAACACAAGGAAAAAAGAAAAGAAGCTGACCAAAAATTCGTTTCACATACTGAATACCGGAACGAGCGTTGTACTTTGAATATTTTATATATCTGTGAATATATAAAATAGAATAATATGTATGTGCAAATTTCGTGTGCGTCACTTTTATACACGTTATATAATTTCTCATAAATGCATGAAAATTCACGGCCCAATTATGTTGTTACGTACATTTATGTTTCGTAAATTTAAGAAAGTTACTTACAAGTCTGCGACAGGGATCTTGCAGTCAAACTTGATTCATTCACAATTCAATCACAATTTAAACAATTTCCTCTAAGCAATTTTATGGAAATGACACGCGCCGATCGAAGCTTGCAAAAGACTGACAAACAAATATGGCGGCGACAAAATGCCGCGAAAAATAAACGCCATCTAATGTCGTTTTCCGCGGTCACGTGACCCTTTAAGATTGCAGCGGAAAAAAAAGACGATAGAGTTTAATGAGGGACACCGTACGCGGAATCAAACGTGCCTCTAACAAATTAAGAAAACACCGCGAGTGATACTATAGTTGAAATTGGAGTTACAAGAATCTCGGAAATGCAACGGAACGGCGAATCTCTCAAGGAACAAGTTGGCGAAAATAGGAAGGGGGAAATTGAAAATCCTATAGTAACAGCTTACACCATGCTGTATTAAAGCTTTACACTTTGTGCGCCGAAGTTTTTACGCTTCATGCTCGAAACCTGTCAGAGCGAGAATACGAGCGGAATGCCGACCGCTCAGCGCGCCCAATTTTTTCCCTCACTTTGATCTCTCCCGCTCGTGAACACCGATTTTCAACTTATTTCACATTACAGGAAAAGCAGTGATTTAAAAACGTACACATATATAATACATACACATATATAATGCATACATCGAGCAAAAAAAGAAAACATTTTAACGACGTAACACGAAATTCATTCGGCTAGATGAGTCATCGTTAGAAATATACATACAATAGAATAAGCAAAGTATTAAAATCTCTGACATTGACGCGAATTAACGTTATTTTCACATATTAACGCGACGGCAAGTGTGAGAACGGACAACACGTCCTTTACGCTCGATGTATGCTGTACGATCCGTACAGGCAAAAAAATGTTTGTTTCTTCGACATACCTTAAACAAAGTAACAATGACGATAGGCGAACCAAGAAAAACAAAACAGACAGAGGTGAAGGGGGCAGGCGTGCTTCGGTCCAATGCAAAATAAACGTGTACGCTCGTTATAGCCGATGGCCTCTACGTTGATTTACCGTTTTCCGCGTGTATATGGGCATATGACTTCCGGTAGGCAGTGGGAGGCACGATGCCTGGCCTGCTTTTCTTTCTTTGGCTAGATTAGAAAAATTCGGTTCCTCCTGTCGTTCAAGTCCGAAACGTGTGTGTCCGGTGTGTGTTCGTCCTCCGCCGCCCGTCTCTTTCTTTTCTTCGTTCACGCCGCAACACGCTTCATTTGCCAGGCCGGTTAATACATTCGGCGATCCGCGATAGAGTCAATGATATAACCGCCCGTCGGTTCGCCTTTCAGCAACCTCGACATGTTTCACCGGCCTTCTCTTTCTTTCTCGTCCTCGACTGGAGCTCCGATTCCGCGAGACACTCGCCGAGAGGACTCGCCTCCGCGTTTCTGTTCCCTATTTGCGATCCACTCACCTCGGCTGTTACACTGCTCTACCCGTCGCTCACTTTCGCTGTAGGAATCGCGTTTGCAATTCGACTTAACGACGCAAATTCTCTCACACTGGAAAAACCGATCGGACACGCGCGAATACGATGCGTCGAACTCCGTTTTCTTTTCCTTTTTTTTTTCGGAGCAGATGTAACGGCGACGCCTCCCGTATGAACGTAAGGGACGAATGTCAGTCGCCCAGATCGTACAACGAGCAATTAATTAGCCGGCCGCTTGACACGCCGTTAGACACCGATCGTACGACTAGAAGCACGAATAATCGAGACAATGAAACGCAGTCGAGCGTCGTTTCGATTCGATTCGATATCGTTTCCGCACTCCGTACGCGAAGAGAACAATTCGCGAGAATCGTCGTCGTGTTTAAGACGTTGCAACGACATCGACGGATATCGGACCGCGAACGAACGAACGAACGACAATGTATTCCGTACGATTCTTTCGATAGTTATAGTCGATCGTGCAGATGACTGATTGAATTCTCGTGAGGGAAACGTGACGGACGCCAATGTACGCCGAAATTTCAAGAGAGGACGTATGTCGTGTTCCCCGCGTTTATACTCGAGAACTGATATTATTGTCGTTCTGATACGCGCCGAAACACGTAACAAGGTGTACAAAAAAGCGCACGTCACTTTCAAAACCGGTCACATCGCCGATGAGACGATACCACGAACACCAAAAGACGAACAACCAACTGCCGCGACGTCACAAGTCGTACTAACTCGACTAGCGGTTCGTCGAGACCGGTGAACCTATGGGTAGCGGCGCGCGAGAGGGAGGGGATGGCTGAATACTCATGAGAACGACTCCAGCGTCACCGGCGGGAAAATTTCAAAACGTCGAACGCCGACAACGTTCACCTTTATCGACATATATTTTACATAATTTTTGTAATTAAATGTATCTATTTATCTAACTATATATATATATGTAAATATACGTGTAATATAATTGTGATACGAATATATTTTGAAATAATAGACATGATATAAATTAAGTGAAATTGATTCAACAAGTAAATTACTTGAATTTCTATGAAGTACTAGAATATCGATTCACGTTTGCAAATTTTATTTTTTCATCGTAATATTCAACCATCATGGAGGGATGAGTAAAAATATTTGTCATAATATAATAATTAATTTTTAAATTTACGCGTTTCAACATATTCGTGTTCATTGCTAAATGAATAAGAATGTGGGAAGTTAATAATTACCAAAATCATTAACTGAAGAGTCACAGGTATTTCAATTATGCATTTTTGCAATTAACTATTTTTTATAGGTATACCTATAACTTTTTATCTTGTATACCATTTGTACATCATTTTCTTCTTAATCTTCCTTTTCTAGTGTCTTTTTATTAATGGAATTTTCTTTCTCTTTTTATATCTGAAATTCATTTTTTGGATTTTTTTGCGTAACTTCTTGCACTATTAGAACTGTTTTTAATACCATTCTATTATTTTATCTAATCTGTACAACATCAAGAATATTAACAATGAATTGTAACTTAATTAATGATTAATCAAAGAATCTTGAAATTTACATATTTGATCATTTTTACGGACAAATTTGAAAGACAAGAACTCGACAGCTGATTTAAAATTAAATAAATTACCTTTTAGTCTAGAATTCAGATCAAATTTGCAATTTAAGTATTTTTGTATCGGTTGCTGTCATTATTTGAGTACTTTAATTTAACGCCTCGCTCTATATTACATCGAATATTTTTAGTATTCATTCGATTATTTCTGTTTCCATATATTCTCATCGATTTCTTCGGAGATAAAGCAGGATAGGGCGTTGGGGCACGTTATTGCACCGCGGTATCTGGTTTTATTTTGAATCTAATGAAACGGACTGCTAAAAAAGAACACGAGCGCGTCGTTAACAGTATATCATTTATTCCTACTCTTTGCCCTGTACATTTTAATCCGTAGAAAGTTCTTATTCGCTCGCGATATTACAATGCAATCACATTATACGTCTCGTTTTATGGAAGAATCAGACGGTAAGAAAGCAAAGACGGTGAAAAAGAGAAAAACTTATAAAGATATAAAACGGGATTACCCTTATTAATCTTATGCTCTGAAATAATCAAGACGTTTCTGCTCTGAATTTCATTCCGCCAGTTCTATCCATCTAAACCTTGCGTTGTTCTCACCGTTCGTTAATTTTCTTTTTTCTTTTTCTTTTCTTTTTCTCTACATTATCGTTGGGCAGAAGAACGCGAAAGTTAAGGCTGAAATACATCATCTCCTATCTCGATTATAGTATCGCAGTTCTCCGAAGGCAGATCGGTAAACGAAAGATATACGCTTTCTAGACAGAAGGAAAAGTTTTATCTGCCGTTTCAGAAATATCAATAACTGATCCCTCGTACAGTTTCTATTCCAACGTGGAAATATACGGCCAGACGAAGCTCCGTCCGCCTTCCCTATCCCTGAATACCATACAGAACATGCCCGAGTGTATCCCTTTCAAATCGAAGAAGATGCAGCGGTCTCGTACAGACATTCAGAAAGTATTCTATTCGGAATGATGGCACGTGCCGTTGCCAACGTAGATTTGCCGTTTAAAATCCAATTCGTGGTTGCCACCTCAGGGTACATCTCCGTCGAATTTAGTCACCTTCACCCACGATGGTGGTAAAATTAATCTAATTCCGCCGAAGATCATCGTTCCGAGAGAATTCGAGTACACCTGGTGACGCTTGTCAGAGAAAATCAAGATCGAGCCGAGTTAAATTATAAATGCCGCGAATCGGAGCGCGAACGTTCGAGCACGTTGTCGAATACTGCTTCTCTATCAGTTTATTGTCGTGTTCGAGGCACGAAAACTGCGAATAAATCGACTGAATCGATTCGTTAAGCAGTTTTGCAAATCGTTTCGACGGAATCTAACGAAGGGGGAAAGTTTAATTAGCCGTCGTGTATGGTTCGTTCGTTAACCTGGTGCATTTGTCAAAGTTACGAGTTACAAAAGCGAACGAGAAGCAAAAAAAAAAAAAAAAACCGAGGTCTCTGCCTCTATACCTTCGATTGCTTCTACTCAAGTTTCATATCCAGCTTCGTATAATTGCAATCTCTCTTGTCCGGTTGTGATAATAGTTAGTGAAAAATCAACGTTCGAAATTGAACAAGAACAGTCTAGAAATTTATTCGATTCGATTCCGTGCGTTCCACGCGCATGTATTTATATTAATTCCATTAAATATATGTCAGACAAAATTCCATCTCAATGCGTTGTTATTAAACAAGCTTTCAACAGACTCGCGTAATAGATAAACGCGTAAACAATTTCCGGCATGGTCGTGCGCTTTCTATTAAATCATGTTGGCATGATTTGCCAGAAGTACCATGGCGACACGAATAAATAACCATTCTTTCCCTTTTCTCTTACAGAAAAAAAGATATTGAAAAAGAAGAGATAAAAATATTCGACGCATAGACTACAGGTCGAAAACGCGTTCTCCCGGTTCGTCTCGTTGAGAGGCAAATACCTTCCAATTCTAAAGACGATCGGAGACAGTGAATCTCCGAACCCTGTGACTTTTTTTCACTGTGCCACGTCATGTCATAATTTCATCGTGAAAGGTAATACGAAAGGAGCAACCATGGCGGGAAACGAAGAGAGGAAAAGGGCCGTGGCAGTATGGTCTTCGCCGCTCGAGATTTATCGAAGCCGAACACCGATGCATTAGCGATGGAAAAGCACGGAAACGAGATGAAGGTAACGAAGCGAGGAGGGAGGAAAATCGACGAGGGTGTCGTGGAGGGAAGGGGAGGGGAGGCGGAAGGAGGCAACCTCTTCAGCCCTTAAACCGTTCTCTCTTTTTAAAGCTAAAGGAGCTCTCTCAAGACTTGTAACAAATCAATCGAGATCAGAGACGCACGGTTCAGGCGAAGGGTCCAATTTGAATTTCTCCAATTCGAATGGATTTTGAATACGCGGGTATATACATGTACATTTTTATCCTCTAGTCTAGATTACTAAGAGAACGCAGTTAAACGCAAATCTTTTTCAATAGTACGCTGATTGACATCTTTCCTCGCTCATTGAGATACTATTGAATACTAATTTAATTACGTATTCACTACTTATCACGACACGTTACGACAAAAAGAAGAAGACAGGAACATAGATACTGATATTCTAAACTAGTCGATTATTCTATGTTTTAGACTTTGATACAAAGTTCGTATATTTAATCGCTTTAAATTGCTGACATCACATTGATATCAATACGAGCCTGAACATCTTCACCCAAGACAAGGAACATAAAAATGTTCAACGAATATAAAAACCGCATTGACGTTACATTAAATACAATAATTCTCGTTCGATTGCACGTTCAGAGTAGAAATTAATTTCTAAGTACCTTTCTTCAAATGTTGGTGTCTGAATAGATAAAATGGTCATGGCAAATTTTATGTAAAAGTCGTGCGCATCTAGAGGTTCTCTTTCGTTGTCGTTATTTATCAAAACACGAATGACAAACACGATGAGAATAATGGAGAATCTGATGACCAGTGAAAATTATTACGTAAATTACACGAATCATTTTGTCTCTAAATCTAACATATCTCGCAGACGCATCACCATACGCAATACGTATTCTTGAAGCAACGATTGCCTTGACTTTCCTACGTCCATCACTTCTTCGTGATTCGCTTCCTCGTGATTCTCGTATTCGGTGATGCACTGATTTGTGATCAAACTGAAAGCGAACACGGTCAAGTCGCAGTGCCTGGCAGTGATGACTTCATGTACCGTAGACATTCCTGGAATTGAAGTTGAACCGTTAATGGCCAATGTTTAGACAATAGGACAATTTGTTAAAGAGAAAATCTATGGAAAATCTAGTACGGAGAGTGTACCAACCTACTGCATCGACACCAATCATTCTTAACATCTTCAGTTCCGCAACGGTCTCGAAATTTGGTCCTCCGAGACACGTGTACACGCCTTTGTGCACGATATCGCTTATACCCATCTCATCCGCCACTTGCTGGCCGATTTCTAAGAGAGAAGCGTTGTAAGCTTTGTTCATCGGCGGGAATCTCGGCCCGAATCTGAAACGCGAACGCGCATCGCCGAGATGAGAGAAGAGGGAAGGAACTTTAATATCATCGGGAGGAGAGGATAATCGTTAGAAAAATGCGGGGAAGCACGAAAAAAACCGGCGAGAATATTCGATGGGGCTCCATTAATACCGGGAAGTTGTCGTAACAAGGCAAAGAAAAGTATGATGAAAGAGTCTCAAGTTTCGTGGGATGGAAAGTTAACGAAAAACCGACTGAGACGCGAAAGCGGATAAGATGGTAGAGGGCCAAAGAAAAAAAGACAGGGGAGATAGGCAGAAAAATCGGGGAGAGATCCTTAGGTAAATACGTCAATCAGATTCTTTGTGTCGTCGGGTAAATAGTTCATCAATCTGATTCAAGGGGTTGTTCCGATGAAATAGATTAATTTTGTTCCTTCGACGACCTCAACGATCTCGCACGGCCACCCTCTTGCCCCTAGGGCGAGCACTCGAAGAATCGAGTTGTCGAGCGGTCTGCAATCTGCAAGCGTCGTCGACGACTTTCCTTCCGGAAACGAGCCCGAAAGCCTTTGTCGACTGGAAGCGGATTCGAATTCATCACGCCGTTCACGCCGTGAATCTCACTAGCCCGCTCTTCAACCGCTATCTTTTTTCCTTTATTCCTCCTCAGGATCGTCTCTTTTCATCCATCATCCCCCTCTATAGTTGCTGTATACTTTCATCTCTTCCTCGTTTTTCTCCTTTTTCCCTCCCATCGATAAGATCGAAAAGATTTCACTGTCGCTAATTCTTAGGACACGCGAGAAATTTACGATCTCGTGGAAATTTTACGCGAAGAAGAAAAAAAGTACGGGGGTTGGCTCTCGAGGCAGGCGAGCGTAGGACTGTGAGCGCAACACCGAACGGAGTAATGTGACGCGTTTCATAGTACGACGCATTGAGGAGGAGAGGAACGAGGGTAAGTACCTGTCGTCGTTTGGCCCTTGAAGAGGGTTATTCCCCGCAAAACCCATCATGTTCACGTGATCCTTCACCATCATAATGTCGCCAACCTTGTATGTGGGATTTAGACCTCCCGCGGCGTTCGTCGCGATTAGATGAGTCACGCCTATGAGCTTCATAACTCTTACTGGCATAGCGCACTGCACGCAGAAAGGAGAGGGGAAATAATAAAAGAAAAAATAAATTGAAGAAACTCGCCAAACGCAGGTGATCAGAAACTTTAAACTAAAAACACGAAGAGAGACCGCGTTGCAAAGAAACTCGCGGGTAGTAATACGAATGAACAAACGTTACCTTCCAGAGTGGATAACCCTCGTAATAATGAAATCTTCCCTGCATGCACATGATCGGTACGCCCTGTAGATAACCGAACACCATCTGTCCTTGGTGGCCTATGACGGTCGACACTGGGAAATGCGGGATTTCTTCGTATGGGAAGCACTGCTTGTTCTCGAGGGAGTCCGCCAAAGAACCTGGACACAACTCGTTTTGCTCTGTTTAGGAATAAACAAAACATAGACTAGGAAAATATGCTGCTGCTAGTCCTGACGAGCACCAAAGCGTTTCAAAAGCCCTCTACTAACCCATTCCAGAACCGCAAATAATCCCAATCTTCGGCCTCATCTTCACACGGTCCAGCAAATACTGCGCCGATTCTTGCAGTGCCTCGAACGTGTACCTGAAAATGACATTACGCCGTAAATCAACGAGTCGAACGATGTTGAATTTAGCCCGGCTGATGAGTCAATATTCCCACAATGGGAAAAAAAAATGCTTTTCCACGATTGGGGCATTTCGCGCGATGGGGTTGCATAAACTCGTGAAAATAATAGGAATATTCAGGAATAATCGGGGTGAGTTGGGCAGAGTACAAGGGTGAGGAGAGGGGGGGGAGGGGGGTCGTTCGCAGCCGGCCAACATAATTTCACCGTGGAAACTATTACAAAACGGTGCAGTTACCTGTTAAACTGCTAACAGGCTCAAATAGCGCCGGATTTAAGCTGAATGTAGGCTTCGAGGGTATTACAAATCATGCATCGAAATACGCAGGCGGCCGCGTAACGTGTTTACGAGTGTGTACGCGCGTCCTGTGCACAACTCGTCTAGCCCCCGTGTATGCATTCACGCGTGCGCGAATGCAGAACGCGCTCGTGAACAGGCACTACGCACAGATGCACACACAGAATTTCCATAGCATTCGACCGAATAAGCGCGCCTCCAGCATAATGCCACGCGTGACACGATCGAAAATTACTTACAATTCCACCGTGAATTTTAATGTCTCGACATCCCCACCCTCCTCATCCATGTCACTTTCCTTTTTTCCTACCTTCCTCACGCGTCTCTTCCTCCTTCTCTTCCTTCTCCTTTTTTTTCGCCGTCCGCGTAGCAATATCCGCGAAAGCTCAAAGCGAAGATTCTCATTTCACCGTGGCCTCGGAAACACACCTTGCGACTAGAACGTTTCGCGAAGCGAAAAACGACTCTCCAAGGATAAAACTGTAATCGCCACCCATTTCTCGTCCCTCGGATTATCGCGAACCTTCATTCACGAGATTTTCATTTCCTACGCCCATCGACCATCCGAGAGGAAAAAAAAGGAAACTCTTGGCAATTGGAAAGAAAAGACGCGGAGGTAAGACGCGGAGATGTCGCGGAGGCGCCGCGTTTCGTCGCGACGTATTACGCGTCACCGTACGAGGGGACATCGAATTATAACGGCGCTGAATACGCCTTGAATATGCATCGTCCCCGTTGCCAATACGGTCGTATTCAACCGCGAATCTGAGAATTGCGTCGCAGTTTCGCCGTGGGTGCACGTGGAAAAGCTTCGATATAGCCGCGGGTATGGCAAACGTCATTAGACCAACCGCATTCGCGGATGCTCCATCGTAAACCGGGATTGTACGGTGGCCCGTTATGAATGGCAAATGTGAGGTCGACGATTATTATAACGACGTGAATGCGCATCGCCCCGGGCCATGGCGAGTATTCAATGACGCCTCCGCGATTCTGCCTACAATATCAGTCGCTCTAATCTCGATTATGGATGCACGCTATGCTCGGAACTCGGCTTAGGGTGTGTTCCTCCTTTGGATTTGATCCAGAGCCCCCGGTGCCACGGTTCAGTGCCATTTCGCCTCCGTAAGAGAGACGTTTAACTCTTGGACCTGTCGATCAATCGTAGCACATTTTTAATGAACGAGTCTCGATCCGACGAAACGAGCATCGTGAAACGTAGGACAGTGCTTCGTTCCTAGCTTCTAAGTCCTCGATTGAACGTCGTTTTTTTCTCCTTTTCTCTTTTTTTAAGGCAGCTCGACAGCACGCGAATCTGTACGTCCAAATTCAAGCGATCGACGAAAAGACCAAGGGGGAACAAGAGGAGCAGAAGCGAACCGAAATACACGGTAAATATTAAATGTATTGGATAAAAATCCACAGCTGATGGAACCGGGTAGCTATAGGATGCGACGCGAAAAAAGAATGGAATAGAAAAAGAATAAAGGCTGCAACTAAATTACAAATCCGTCTGCATATTCGATTCGGCGTGCAGTTTTTACGCCACTTCGCGAACACTGTTCGACGAGAAGTGATCGCCATTGGTCTCTATCGATCGGCCGCTATCGTTGATCGACCAGTCTCTGGACCTCGATCAAATTGAAATAGCCTTCGAATCAATCGTGGCGCGAGCGAAAAGCGTCCGGATCGCGCGCAAACGGTCGTAATAAATTCTAATAAACCGCGCGACGATCGAGATGATCGCGAAGCGATAATGATGTAACAGATTACGAAACGCTAAAAAATTTAGTGGATAAACTAACAATGATTAAAGCAATCGACCCTCTTGCTCCGTTTTCTCTCTTTCTCTCTCTCTCTCTCTCTCTCTCTCTCTCTCTCTCTCTCTCTCTCTCTCTCTCTCTCTTTCTCTCTC